CAGCAAAGGCATTGCCACATGCCCCAAACGTCGGTGTGCCGTTGCCCAATCCGTCTCCCCAGATCTGGCCAACACTTTCACACCAACCCCTCCAACGGCGTTGCACTCCCCCTGTGATGCAGACCCCTCTCCAGCCTGCCCCCCACCGTGCCACGCCAGCGCCGGCAGCTGCCACATAGATCTGTACACAACCTTGCTCTCGTGCAGATCCCAAAGCACCCGATTGCCCAGCTTCCCCTTATAAGTGCGAGCCCCATCCGTGTTGGTGTTCACCCCAGCCTTGCCAAGCTTACGGAGGGAGATAAGGTTGGCCTTCAGGTCGGGGACGAGGAGAACGTCGTGCAGCACCACCGGCTTGCCATCCGCTCTCTTAAACGCAGCTCGTCCCGCACCAGCCACCTTCAACATGTGTCCAGAGGCAGAGCACACCTCGTTAATCGGTGCAGCGCGTACGTCGTCCAGCAGGTCCTTGCACGGCGTCATTGTCCAAGCAGCGCCTGTGTCCAACACCCAATAGTCCAGGGGGTGCAGCTCTGCTCCAACCTTAGCAGATGTGTCTCCTTGCTCCCCCTTGTCTCCCACATGGAAGAATTGGCCCGCGGTGCGCTCTTTCTTCTTCTCCGCACCGCCGTTGCCCTTCGGGTTGTTGTCGGACGAATCAGCGACCATGTTGGCGCCGTTTTTCTGGTTCCTCCGCGCGCCGCCATCCTGGTGACGATTCTGGGGGGTCCATCCATCGGGTTTCTTATAGCACAAAAACCAGGGGTGCCCTTCCTTCTCACAATACCAGCAACTCCCTTTCATTTTGCCACCAGCACCCGACTTGCCCCCACGTCCAGATTTCGCACTGCGACCCCAACCGGTACCTCCTTGTTGGTCATTGGAGTCGTCGTCTTTCTTTGCACCGCGTCCAGCACCACCGAAGCCACGTCCTTTGCCACGTCGGCTCCCTTGCATCCCGTAGCCGCTGCTGCCGTCGTCTCCACCCCTCAGTTGGCGGCGACGGAAGTCCTCCTCCAGAATCTTCGTCCGCACCCACTCGAGCGTCCACAAGCTCTGGTTCTGCGGCAGGCTCAATCCGCTCGTAAATTGAAGCCACGATTCCGGCAGCAGCGAGAGCATCTTCAGGCACTTGGTCTGCTCTGGGTAGGTGATTCCCGCGATCGCCAGCTTCGCGTAAAGATCACGCATCTTGTCCAGGATGGGTTGCACCGGCTCTCCCTCGCTCAGGCGCAACGCGGACAGCTCCCTCTCCATCATGAGCGTCGCAGCGACGGAGGTAGGGGCGTGCAGCTCCTTCAACACCGTCCACGCCTTCGGACCGCACTCAACCTCCGGCAGCAGGTGCATGACGTGGTGACGCTGGTTCAGCTCCAAACTCTGCGACATCAAGTAGTAGCCAGCCGAGGCGCGCTCGTCCCAATCTTCCTGAAGTGCGGGGTCACTCGGTCTAGTCTCCTCCCCAATCATTAGTTTCAGCAAACCGATATGACGGAAATAAAGTTGCATTTTCCAGGCCCAATCATCATAGCCCTCACCATTGAACTTCTCGACGGTGAAGTTTTTCAGCACCTCCTTGATTAGCGAGCCCTGGCTTGTTCGCGCTCCCCTTGGCGCAGAAACACCAGAATCTTGGCTGCCGCTACGATCTTGGGCTGAAGATTCACCAGCTACCGCCGAGGTGTTGCCCGCCATAGCTACATATAACGAGGATCACTATAACGCAGCTCTGATACCAGCTTGTTGGTTCAAGGGCCTAATAAACTCAAGCTACTAAGACGCAATTCAAACTTAAACCTCTCCTCGGGGTCACCTCCAAGGGTCCCGAGGTGCCTGGTACAAGACCAGCCCCTATCCTCGGGTCCGAGTTTGTAGAGAGAGAGATAAGAAGAACGCAATCAAAATAGCGAGAGTACCTTGAACGTCGCGCAGCGTGCCGTGCAGACCACCGATCGGATTTAGCTGAGATTTCGCTATATCGAAGCTCGCTCCAAGAGCTTTAAAATAAGCCAAGTTGCCTCGCGAAAAGTTCTGCCATTACGAAGTTATGGCTCGGACAGCGTTTGCCTAACGTTGGAGTGCTAGCGTACTAGCGTTGACTCGGGCAGCATTACGCCGTTGAACCGCGTAGAGAACGAAATTCCAGCAAGGAAGGAATCCGCTTGAATCAATTGACTATGTTCAGGTACAAACTGAGAAGGAATAAATAGTTCTAGCTAGCAAGGACCTTGGGAATCAACCTGGGAACAACCAGGGATGATCCTAAATAATTCCAAGCAACAGAACCAACCTGGCTGGACAAAACAGCAGGTGGTAGGTTGGAAAACAACCTCTGGTTCTGTTTTTCCAACCTGGGAAAACAACAACCAGATTCAGGTTCTAAAAACAGAACCTGTTTTGTCTTTGCCCAACCAGCCAAATGCTGGTTCCGCTGGTTTCCCCTGGCCTTGTAGCATGCAGATACAGACAAACAACATCCAACCTTCACCTAAATTGTACCCCTATAGTGCCTGCCCTGCTACACTATAGTTAACCAAACAAAACAGTACAATTACAAGTTGGATAGAACTGAATCTGCGCAATCAATTCAACCGAACTGCAAAGCTTCCATCTTGGGTTCCTTTGCGAGCTCGTCCTTTCTGCTTGCACTGTTCATAGCGCGTACAATGTTGTGCCGAAGCGAACATTGTGCGAGTACCTGCAAATGCTTCAAGCGAAAATTGCGAAAGCAAACAAACACACGAACACACCATTCACACGCAAATGCATTCGCACACGCATACTCGTACAAACAGACGGCAGGATGTCGTGCAATGTGAATTTGCACCCAACAGATGTGAGGAGCGTGGTAAGCAGATCCCTACCCCACTGGCTCCATTTATCCCGGGGGAGGAGATGGAGTGGTGTCGTCCTGGTGAGGTAAGCAACTCGTCGTGAGATGCAGCGCGTGAGTAGCAGTGCTGCAACCTGGGGGTCTGCTCGCTCGAGTAAGGGTAGGGGTTTCGACATCTCCGCGAGTTGTCCCGCTAGGAACTGGGCTGCGCCGCTGTCCTGCCCCACGAAACTACCCAACAGCCGCACGCCATCTTTAGAGAACGGCACTCCTGGCGAAAGGGAAGCTGTGTCGATCGTGCTTGAACTCCAGGCAGCACATTTCTGTGGGTTATGCTCAAGGCCCAGGTGTGCCAACTTGGCCGTGAAGTGTGTGAATGCAGCTACAGTGCGGGATGTGTCACCCAGGAAGGTGACATCATCCGCATACGCCAAGCACAGCACGTCAGAATGTGCTTCGGCCGTTTCTCGGAGCGTGGAGTGTATCCCTGCTGCAAACAGTAGCGGCCCAAGTGGGTCGCCTTAACGCACGCCGCGTTCACTTGTGAGTGGTTCGCTGTTGAAGTTGGAATCCAGTAATAATTGCGACGGGTTACCGTAGGTCAGCTTCACGAACGGCAGCAGTGGCGAGAGGGCGGGTTCGTGTAACGCGTTGGCGATGGCGGTTCGCGAAATGCTGTTGAAGGCATTTGAAATGTCAGCTTGTAGGACCAGGCTGTTCGGGCGGGCATCCGCGAAGGCCCGTGCTGCGTGGATTACTGCCTCTGCTCCACCTGGAACCGCCACCCCGTACTGCAGCGGTAGGAAGAAATCGCGGACCGGTTCTCCCATGATTAACAGGGCAGCTTTCGCTGCCAGCCTCGTCAGGCATTCGCCGATTGCGATTGGCCTGGCCCCTCCCCCTGGCTTGGCCAGGGCTATGAGTCGCGACGCCGTCAGCAGGTTTGCAACCGGGTCAGGCAATTTCCCTCCCAGCATAGTGTTGACCATAGCGTTGGTGATCGCCGCGTCGCGCAGGTGCTCGAATGTCATCCCTGACGGTCCGGCTCCGACACCATTCTCGCATCGTCCCAACATTTTTGCGAAGTCAGGGTGGGGGATTGACAGCTTTGACCCCTGCGGCTCCGGCCACGTCACTGCCTCGTCTGCGGCAGGTGGGTGCTTTCCCCGTAGCTCCTCCAATATTTCCGGGCTGGGAATGCAGACAGGCGTTGACTCGAGGGCCAGCACGGCCCGGCGCAGACTGCCACGTTTCGACAGGCTCTCTGCACGGCTGATGACACCTGTCACATCTGGCTGATGTCTTGGCGGGGGCGGTGTGTTGACTGCGTTCAACGCGTCTTGGTACAGCTGATCCCATTCGCCACGCTGGAAAGCTCGGAGCCGGCTCTTGACACTTGGCCAGTTCGGGCGTTGTGGCGAGGTCTGGCGAAGCGTCAGGCGCGGGAGAAACAGCAGCAGGCGCCATCCCATTTCCGAATCCGGGTTTCGTGATAGGTGGTGTAACGGTGTCAGTAGCGCGAGCGAAAAAAACTGACACAGGTTTGGCGGTAAATGCCGCGACAGTGGAGGCTGACGACTGTCGCAAAGTGCTGGAATGTCCCAGTTCGCGATGGCTGCGAACAGGTCTGTCCGCTTTGCTAGCTCGTCCGGTGAAAAGTAGCGGGGAATTGATGCTGGTTGGCGCGCCGCAGCCCCGGCATTGGCGGTTCGATTTCTCCAAGCGCGGCTCGATCTCATTGGTGGGCTGGAGGTTGGATTTGCACCCGTCCGATCAGCATCGGATGGTGGCTGATTCATCTGTGGTACTTGCAATTCCGCCTGCTGCACCACCTCTTCCCGTCTCCTTGGTCCTTCTCTCGCCATGCCTTCTCCCTCTGTCTCCTCCTCCTCGCTCTCGGGAAGGGCTTCTTCCCTATAAGATGGGTCGTCCCGCTCGTCTTCATCATTACTAATAGTTTCCTCCACGTTGTTTGAAGCCATTCTCGCCGCCGCCTGATACCCATTCTCTGGCCCTCCGCCTGTTCCGCTTACGGTTTCTCTCCTCGCCACGCGGCTTCCTTGCTCTAGGGATGGTGATTGCCGGAGCACCTGAGCCGTCGCCAGAGCTCGTTGACGCCTGGTCGGCTGCCGTCGCCAAGCCTCTGGCGGAGCCCAAAAGGGCGACCATGGCGACGAAGCCCCCTCTACCGCCGGCTCCGAAACCCGTGACAGCAGTCTCTGAAAAGACTCCTCCCCACGCACCCGCGGATCCCCTTGCCGGGTCAGAGGCAGGCCCGTCCGCTCCCGCTGCTGTTCCGTCTGCTCCGCCTGCGGCACCTGGCCCCCTGGCTCCCCTTGTCGAGCCGTCGGTGTCTGCCCCTGCTGGGGGTGTTGCTGAACCTCCTGACCTGTCCCTGGCGCCCTTGTTGCGCCGACCGCTTCTGTCCCCTGCCTGCCTGCGCAGGCCTCTGCTTCGTCACCAAAGGCGGCGTCCGCCACCACTGGCGAGCCGGCTCCGTCGGTTGCGCCTGCGGCGGCGGGCCAGTCCGCCCCTGCTGTGACGGCGGTGGCTCCTGCAGGCCAGCCGTCACGCCCTCCGTCGCCTGACCGTCGCTCGTCACGCCCCCATTCCCCCGCTCCCCATCCGGACCGCAAGTCCTCTCGTCGCCGGCGTGAATCTCCACGGCGGTACCAGCAACAGTCGCACTGGCCTGCTCACTCCGGGGGTCAGGGGGATTGGAGGGGTCCCCGTGCTCGTGGCGGGGGTGGGGGGTATCGCCCGCCTGTGACGATGGCGGATCTTCAGCGGGAAATGTCGAGGGCGGTTCGGGAGGAGAGGGCGGCGCAGAGCCAGAGCAGTTCGCTGTGCGCCTTGCCAGCCCACGAGGCTCCCCGTCCGGCTGCGCTCCCCCCGAACCCGCTGCCTGTTGCCGCGCTCCCCCTCACATCCAAGCGCCACCAGCTCCTTCTCCCGCTGTATCGGCACCTGCTCCCGGTTCTCGTCTCCATCTGCCGCCGGTTCCGCCCGTTGCGGGAGTGGAGTTTGTGGCCGCGGGATGCGGCTCGTTGGCGGCTCCGTTCGCTCTCCCAGCTGATGCTGTAGAGCCGCTCCAGTTCCTGGCGGAGGTAGTCCAGCCTCCGCAGACCCGTGTTCCCGAGGCAACTCTCGGACAGCTACACCGCCTCGCTGACAGTCTCCATGCTCTGCTGCTGATTCAAGTGCTGGCCCACTCATCTCTCCCTGTGATCCCTCCTGAGACCTTCCGTGGCCGCCAGCGTGACTCTTGCCTGGACGCGGCGGACCAGCTCGCGGTGCTGCTGGCGCCCGTGCTGGCTGCGCCCGCGGAGGGTGGCGCTGCTGCTGCGGGACAGCTTGACGAAGCCGTCCGGGGCATGAGGCGGCACTTGCGCGGAGGATCTGGAGCAGTGGCGATCGGCGCAAGCACGCTAGTGGTCTGGGAGCTGTGGCGCTCCCTGACGGGCATTCTTCACGCCCTTGGAGCTCACCGCATGTAGATGCGGGCTCCGATTGCCCCATATTTGATTTGCTTGTCTAGGTTGCTGTAAGAAGAGCCATGATTGTGATGCCGTTGTTTATGAGAAACTCTTAGGATTGTCACTTGCTGTCCCCTCAAGCGCGGCCGAAGGCCGCGCTGTCGAGCGCCGGCCGCCACAAGCGAAATTTTTCCGGTACCACTGGCGGCCAGGACCCGGTTGTGGCGCAGGCGGTGGCCGTTCAGGCGGCGGCTGTACTTGCGCCTGTGGGGCATCCGTGGGGCCCGCCGTCACCTGGCCGTCACTCCTCGCGCCCCCATTCTCCTGCTCTCCGTGAGGAGCGGGAATCGTCGCGCCGGCGCCGCGACTCTCCCCGTCGTAGCCGCCCACAGTCAAACTGGCATCGCGGCGGTCGCGGCGGTTGGGGGGGGGGTCGCGGTTATGGCGGTGGCCCGGCGTATGTTCCTCCTGTGTCCCTTGCGGACGTTCAGCGTGTCGTCTCAGCGGCGATTCGCGAGGAGAGGGCCGCGCAGCGCCTTGCGACGGCTCCTCCAGCTCCCTCTCCTGTCTCTGTTCCTGTGGCAGTGTCTCCTCCTCCTGTGGCTGTTGCTCCTCCTCCACTCGCCCCCCCTGCTCCTGCTGCGGTTCCTGGGCATCACGTGATCCCACCATGGGTTCCTCCTGCCGCGCCACCCCCTCAGTCTGCAGCCGGTGACGCGCAGGCGTTCCCGGCGTTGGGGGGACCTCCTCGCATGGCTGAAGTCCCCGAGGCGTCTCTTGGCCAGCTGTGGCGCCTCGCGGAGGGCTTGCGGGCCGTGCATCTGATCCAGGCGCATGGTCATGCCGCTCTCTCTCGTGGCGGCTCTCTGGATGGTCGCCAGAGGGATGAGTTGCTTGATGCTGCTGATCGCCTCGCGGAGTTGCTGGCGCCCGTGTTGGCTGCGCCCGCGATGGGCGTAATTGCGGGTGTTGGGCAGCTTGGTACAGCTGTCCGTGGGTTGTGGCGGATTTTGCGCGTAGGCTCTGGAGCCGATGTGATCGGCGCAAGCACGGCGGCGGTGCGGGAGCTGCACCGATCTCTGACTGTGCTCCTTGCTGTTCTCGACGCTGATCAGTTCTAGCGTCCTCCCCCTCCTGCTCCATCGTTGTGTCGTGTGTTTCCTAGGCGGATGAGGTTGCCATTGCTTGTATGTCCCTGATCATAGCTGTTTGTGTGTGTTGACACTTGCCACCCATAGCGCGCGGCCGAAGCCGCGCTGTCGAGCGTCGGCCGCCGAAGGCGGCCGGCGCGAGCCGCTCGGTTTGGGAGAAGAACTGAACCCAAAACAGAATAATGAAGATGAAAACAAGGCCTCTAAGGCTTTTATACAAGGGCTAGAGAGGCTAGGGAGGCTGAGGGGAGGCTTGAGAGGCTAAGTCACTAGGTGCCTCTCTCTCTCTCTCTCTCTCTCTCTCTCTCTCTCTCTCTCTCGCTCTCTCTCCCGCTCGGTTTGGGAGAAGAACTGAACCCAAAACAGAATAATGAAGATAAAAACAAGGCCTCTAAGGCTTTTATACAAGGGCTAGAGAGGCTAGGGAGGCTGAGGGGAGGCTTGAGAGGCTAAGTCACTAGGTGCCTCTCTTTCTCTCTCTCTCTCTCTCTCTCTCTCTCTCTCTCTCTCTCTCTCTCTCTCTCTCTCTCTCTCTCTCTCTCGCTCTCTCGAACGAGCAAAAAATTCCGGCCCACAAATGGATAATGAGCCGGGGAAGCAAGATCGGCCACTTAAGTACCTAGTAGAACGAGGGCAGAGGCTAAGGGCAGAGGGCAGAGGCTAACCCTCTCTCTCTCTCTCTCTCTCTCTCTCTCTCTCTCTCTCTCTCTCTCTCTCTCTCTCTCTCTCTCTCTAATGGTCCGTATATTGATATGGCCGAAAGGTACACACGTACAGGTTCGGTAAGCATGCAAGTCCCAGCCTATCCCATCTACAGTTCCACAAGTGGCTCCAAAACAGCAAAGCAATCCCCTAGGTGTAGTTCTTGGCCGATACCCCCGACCGGGGGGTTCTCAGCGGATGCCGCCTCACCCAACTTCATGAGCAACCCCACTGACTGTGCTCTCTGAAGTGCAACCGACCACCGCTGCCTGAACTGATGCAGAAACTTAGCGGCATAGTAGGAGTTAGAATCAGCGTTGAAGTGGCGCCGAGCCGCCGTGTCTGCCAGGAGTTTCAGGAAGATGGGGACCTCTGCACAAGGGCAGCCATAGGTCTCCACCGCCAACGAGAAGAAACCAACCGTCTCAGGTCTACTTGCATAGTGCTGGATCTTTTTGTCTGCCTGCTCTCTGGCCGCCCATCCCCTTCCTTTCTGTGCCTCCGGGTCCCACGTGCTGATAGGGTCGGTCACAGTCACATCACACACCCATACTGCCCCGCTGCTCCTGTCGGTCATGGTGAAGTCGGCCGTCTGCTCCTCGATGGGGCAATGGGCCGCCGACTCACTGTGGACTATGAATCCCGCATCCTGTGCCATGCTGATGCAAGCATCACGGACCTCGTTGTGAGTGTTGATGCGGTGCTTGCCGGTGCCGCAGCGTAGGAGGTGATTTGGGAGGCGGGGGTCGGTGATCGCTGTGTGGTCCGCGCAGTCACAGTTTTTGGGAGTGGAGAAGGGCAAGCCGAGCCGGAATCTGACGGCGTTGGCAAAGTGGACCGGTCCAATGCGCCTGTTCGGGGCTATTGGTATCGCCGTCAACCAATCCCCAGTGCCGTATCCCGTCAAGGAAAACATCCGCTGCGTGTGGCCTGCAAGCGGATTCAGCGGCATCTTCCTCGTCTCCTGAACCTGCACCGCGTAGCGACTGCCGTGGACTTGGAGGGCGAGGGCGTGCTGCAGCTTCACATCCGTCCGTTTCAGTCGCTCTCGTTCCAACAGTTCACGCGCGTCTGAAGGCAGGGTGGTCTCGCACTCAGTGAGCCAGGAGTGGAGTGGAGTGCTCTCGTCTCTCGGCAGGAGCATATGGCCGAATGCGTGCGACAGGGCAGAATCCGGGGATAGAGTGAGCGTGGAGAAGAGCTGCGCCGCCTGCGTGAAACTTGCGACGAATCCGTATACGCCCTCGATGAGAGGGTCTGTAATCCCTACACCCCCAAGAGACGGAGGAAGGGTCGCCTGAGCCCACACGCGCGACTGTTCCGCTCTACCCGCTGGAGCTCGGATATTGCACGAGGTAAGCAATGTCATCAAGAGATCGCGGCCCCACTGCGTCCAAGTGTCCCGGGAGACGAGATTGAGGGGGGTCGTCCGTGTGAGGTACGCCATGCGCCGGGAGATGCAGCGCGTGATCAGCAGCGAAGCGACCTGCGGATCTGCCCGCTCGATGAGTGGCAAGGGCTTGGCCATCTCCCCCAATTGCCCAGCCAGGAAGGCAGATGCCCCGTCTGCTGCACCAATAAAACTTCCCAACAGCCGAACGCCGTCCTTGCAGAAAGGGACTTCTGGCGGCAGCTCAGTTGAGTCGCACGTGCGTGCGCTCCATGCCGTGCACTTCTGCGGGTTGTGCTTCAGGCCCAGGAATTCCAGCTTTGAGGTGAAGTGGGTGAAGGCAGCTACAGTTGCACGTCTTTCCCCCACAAAGGTCACGTCGTCCGCATACGCCAAACAAAGCACATCAGGGTGCGCTGCTGCAGTGTCGCGAAGTGTGGGGTGAATCCCCGCCGCGAAAATGAGAGGGCCCAGTGGATCGCCCTGGCGAACGCCTCGTTCACTTTGCAAGGGGTCGCTTGTAAAGTTTGCATCCAGATGCAGCTGCGACGGGTTACCGTAAGTCAGCTTGACCAGCGGTAGCAGTGGCGAAAGGCTGGGTTCTTGTAACGCAACGGCGATAGCCTGTCGCGAAATGCTGTTGAAAGCATTCGCGATGTCGGCTTGCAGTACCAGGCTGTTCGGGTGGCCATCCACGTACGTTCGGGCGGCATGAATTATTGCTTCTGCTCCACCTGGCACTGCCACGCCGTACTGTAGGGGTAGGAAGTATTCACGTGCAGCATCCCCCATGACCAAGAGCGCAGCCTTGGCAGCCAGCCGCGTCAGGCATTCGCCTATTGCGATTGGTCGGGCCCCGCCCCCAGGTTTGGCCAGGGCTATGAGTCGAGACGCTGTGAGCAGGTCCGCCACCGAATCTGGGAGATTTCCCCCCAGAATTGTATTAACCAAGGCGTGCAGATGGGTGCTGACGGATGCATTGGTTATTGCAGCATCGCGCAGGTGCTCAAATGTTGTACCCGAAGGTCCGGCACCGACACCATTCTCGCATCGCCCGAGGAGCTTCGCAAATTCCGCGTGGGAAATGCCCAGGGGCTGAGTGTCGGCTGCTTGCCAGGTCAGCGGTTCATCCCCCGCTGGTGGATGCTTTTGTCGGAGTTCGTCCAGGATTTCTGGACTCGGTGTACAGACGGGTGTTGACTCGAGCGCCAGCACGGCTCGGCGCAGACTGCCACGTTTCGCCAACCCCTCGGCTCTGCTCAGTACACCTGTCACATCGGGTCGGTGGCGTGGGGGCGGAGGGGCGTTGACCGCGTTTACCGCATCCTGGTAGAGCTGCGACCACTCGCCACGCTGGAAAGCCCGAAGACGGGCCTTGATTTGCGGCCAATTTGGGTGTTTTGGCGAAGCCTGGCGAAGGGTCAGACGCGGGAGGAAAAGAAGCAGTTTCCAACCAGCTTCGGAATCAGGGTTTCGCGAGAGGTGGTGTAGCGGGGTCAGGAGTGCCAGCGAAAATAACTGGCACAGGTTTGGCGGTAATCGTCTCGACAGCGGCGGTTGGCGACTGTCGCAGAGGGCGGAAATGTCCCAATTCGCGATGTCAGCGAATTTGTCCCCCATCTCCGCCAGCTCCACTAGCGAAAAATAGCGGGGGCGCTGCGGGGTCGATCCTGACACAGGGTGGAGGGATGCGGTCCGATGTCTGCGTGCACGACTCGATGTCGTTGATTGCTGCCGAGTTGGATTCTCATCCGTTCGATTAGCATCCAATGGCCCTGCACGCCCCTCTGTTCCCGCTGTGGGTAAGTTGGCTGTCCCAGGTCTTCTCCTCTCCGTCCCTACTCTCGTTGCCTCTGCTCCATCCCCTTCATCTTCATTTTCACTCTCTGGCTCCGCTTCCGCGATATAAGAGGGGTCATTTCTCTCCCCTTCTTCATTGGCAGCTACTAGAGCAATTAAAGCCCGACGTCCCGCAGCCTGAAACCCGTTCTCCGGCCCTCCGCCTGTTCCGCTAACCGCCTGCCTCCTCTCTTCCCGTGCTGCCCGACCTCGCGATGGTGATTGCTGGAGCTCCCGAGCCGTCGCCAGAGCGCGTTGCCGCCTGGTCGGCAGTGGTCGCCAAGCCTCAGTCTGAGCCCGGAAAGGTGACCACGGCGACGAAGCCCCCGGTGCCTCCGGCTCCGAAGCCCTCGACAACATCCCCTGAAAAGCCTCCTCGCCCCGAACCCGCGGCTCCCCTTGCCGCAGCTGCCGCTCAGTCTACGGCCCCTGCTGCTGCTGAGCGGTCCGCCCCGTCTGCGCCAACTGCTCCCCAGGCTCCACTTGAAGCCCCGACAAAGACTGACGCCGCACTCCCGGCTCCCGCTCCCGTTGGGCCACCAGCTGCCGGCCACGAGCCGCAGAATTCTGCGCCTGCCTCGTCCCCGCAGGCGGCGTCCGCCACCACTGGCGGCCCGGCACAGTTGATTGTGCCCCCTACAGTGGACCCGGCTGCCCCTGTTGCGCCGCCCGTGGCTCAGTAGGCGCAGCTGGCGTCGCAGTCTCGTCCTCCCTCGCCGGACCGTCGCCTATCTCGCCCCCATTCTCCAGCGCCCCAACAGGATCGGGCGTCCTCCCGGCGCCGACGCAATTCTCCCCGGCGCAATCAACAGTCGGGTCAGTGGCAAGCGCACCGTGGCGGTCGCGGTGGCTGGTGGGGTCCTCGCGGTCGCAATGGCGGAGGATCGTATGATCCGCCCGTGAGGATGGCGGATCTGCAAAGGGCGGTAACGACCGCGATGCGTGAGGAGAGGGCTGCTCAGACCCAAGGCAGCTCGCACGTTGCCGCCGCCTATCCAGCTCAGCGTCAGGCGGCGCTTCCTGAGGTTCCGCTCCCTGCTGCACCAGTCCAATCTCGTGTTCCGGCCCCATCGCCTCCCGCTGTTGCTGCGTCTGCTCCCGTTCCAGGGTCGCGGTTGCATCTGCCGCCCGTCCCGCCCGTGGCAGGAGTAGAATTTGTGGCTGTGGGAGGCGGAGCGGTGACGGCGGGTGGCCCGGCTCCTCTTGCCGTTGAGGAGCCATTCCAGTTCCTTGCTCAGGCGCTGCAACCCCCTCAGGCCCGTGTTCCGGAGGCGACCCTCGGCCAGCTCTTCCGCCTCGCGGAGAGCTTTCACGCACTGCTTCTGATACAAGTTCTTGCACATTCGTCTCTCCCTGCGCCCCCCCCTGAGTTGTTCCTGGATCGACATCGCGATTCTTGCCTGGACGCAGCCGATCAGCTTGCAGGGCTGCTGGCGCCCGTGCTGGCTGCGCCCGCCGAGGGAGGCGTTGCGGCGGCGGGGCCGCTTGATGAGGCTGTGCGCGGCTTGCGGCGCCATTTGCGTGCTGGTTCTGGAGCCGCCGCGATCGGCGCAAGCACGCTTGTGGTCCGGGAGCTATGGCGCTCCCTGACGGGCGTTCTTCACGCCCTCGGAGCTCACCGCATGTAGACGTGGGCTCCGGCTCTGCCATTAGAGGTTTGCGCGGCTAGGCCGCGGTACGACTTGCCATGTTTGTATTGCCGTTACGAGCAACTCTGTGTGTTGTGTGCTTGTCGTTCCCTCACGCGCGGCCGAATGCCGCGCTGTCGAGCGTCGGCCGCCGAAGGCGGCCGGCGCGAGCCGCTCGGTTAGGAGAAACAAATGAAGAGAACCGAACAATGAGGAGAGCTAGCTCCAGAGGAGCACTTTATACTAGGCTGGAGAGTGCTGGAGAGGCTAAGGACTAGCTCCTAGGGCCTCTCTCTCTCTCTCTCCTCTCTCTCCGCTCGGTTAGGAGAAACAAATGAAGAGAACCGAACAATGAGGAGAGCTAGCTGCAGAGGAGCACTTTATACTAGGCTGGAGAGTGCTGGAGAGGCTAAGGACTAGCTCCTAGGGCCTCTCTCTCTCTCTAATGGTCCGTGCATTGATATGTCAAAGGGGTACACACATGCAAGTATAGAGCCTAGAGCAAGGGTTTTACTACTATCTAGCCAGACCCATTGTGCCTATCTACACCTCCATGAGAGGTTCCAACACAACACAACAATCCCCAAGGTGAAGCTCGGACCCGACCCCTCCCACCGGGGGGTTCTCTGCTACGGCCGCCTGGCAGGTCTTAATGATGTATCCGATGGACTGTGCCCGTTGTAGCGCCACCGACCAGCGCTGCCTGAAGAGGTGGAGGAACCTAGCTGCATGGTAGGAGGTTGGTAAGGCGTTGAAATGACGCCTAGCAGCTGTGTCCGCCAGTAGCTTCAGAAACTTCGGGACTTCGGCACAAGGGCAGCCATATGTCTCAACCGCCAGGGGGAAGAAGCTGACGGTGTCAGGCAGGTTGGCATAGTGGCTAATCTTCTTGTCGGCCTGCTCCCTTGCTGCCCATCCTCTCCCCTTGGTAGCGTCTGGATCCCTGGTGCTAATGGGGTCCGTGATGGTGACATCACACACATAGACCGCTCCCGAGCTCCTGTCCTGCATAGTGAAATCCGCGGTCTGCTCCTCTATGGGGCAAAACGCTGCCGACTCTCTGTAGACTATGAAGCCGGCGTCCTTAGCCATCTTAATGCACGCGTCCCGCAGCTCGTTGTGGGTATTGATCCTATGCTTGCCGGTGCCACAGCGGAAGAGATGGTTTGGCAGCCGCGGGTCCTTGATCTCCACATGTTTTGAGCAGTCACACTTCCGAGGTGTGGAGAAGGGCAGCCCGAGCCTGAAGCGGACGCTGTTGGAGAAGTGCACTGGCCCTATCCGTCTTGCGGAAGCGATGGGGATCGCGGTGAGCCAGTCGCCTGTGCCGTAGCCAGTCATTGAGAACATCCGCTGCGTGTGACCAGCGAGCGGATTCGGCTTCATGCGCCTCGTCGCCTGCACCTGCTTTGCGTATCTGCTTCCGTGGACTTTGAGTCCTAGCACGTGTTGGAGCCGGATGTCAGAACGCTCAAGCCGCTCCTTCTCCAGTACCTCCCGCGCATCTAGGGGCAGTGCCTCCTCACACTCGGTCAGCCATGTGTGGAGCGGTGTGCTGTCAACCCGCGGCAGTAGCATATGGTTCCATGCTAGGGTGAGAGCGTTATCTTCTTCCAGCGGTAGACAGCTGAGATACAGCGCCGCCTGCGTGAAGCTGGCTGCGAAACCGTAAATCCCCTCAACTAGGGGGTCTGTGATGCCCAGTCCTCCTAAAGATGGCGGCAGCGACGCTTGCTCCCAAACACGCGATTGTTCGGTTCGACACGTCGGAACGCGAATATCGCACGAAGTGAGGAGTGTGGCGAGCAGATCCCGGCCCCACTGGCTCCATGTATCACGGGGGAGGAGGTAGAGTGGTGTCGTCCTGGTGAGGTATGCAACTCGTCGCGAGATGCATCGCGTAATTAGCAGTGCTGCTACCTGGGGGTCTGTTCGCTCGAGCAGGGGTAGGGGTTTTGACATCTCGGCGAGTTGTCCTGCCAGGAACTGAGCTGCGCCGCTTTCCGGCCCCACGAAGCTACCCAGTAGCTTCACGCCGTCTTTGGAGAACGGCACTCCTGGCGGAAGGCAAGCTGTGTTGATTGCGCTTGAGCTCCAGGCGCTACACTTCTATGGGTTGTGCACAAGGCCCAGGTGCGCCAACTTTGCTGTGAAGTATGTGAATGCAGCTACAGTGCGGGCTGTGTCACCCAGGAAGGTGACATCGTCCACATATGCCAAGCACAACACATCAGGGTGTGCTTTGGCAGTTTCTCGAAGTGTGGCATGTATCCCTGCTGCAAATAGTAGCGGCCCAAGTGGGTCTCCTTGGCGCACGCCGCGTTCACTTGCTAGTGGTGCGCTGTTGAAGTTGGAGTCCAGTAGCAGCTGCGACGGGTTACCGTATGTCAGTTTCACGAGCGGCAGCAGCGGCGAGAGGGTGGGCTCGTGTAACGCGTCGGCGATGGCGGTTCGCGAAATGCTGTTGAACGCGTTTGAAATGTCGGCTTGCAGTACCAGGCTGTCCGGGCGGGCATCCAAAAAAGCCCTGGCTGTGTGGATTACTGCCTCTGCTCCACCTGGGACTGCCACCCCGTACTGTAGCGGCAGGAAAAATTCGCGGACCGGTTCTCCCATGATTAACAGGGCAGCCTTGGCTGCCAGCCTCGTTAGGCACTCGCCAAATGCGATTGGCCTAGCCCCTCCCCCCAGCTTGGCAAGGGCGATGAGCCGCGACGCCGTCAGCAGGTTTGCTACCGAGCCTGGCAAATGTCCTCCCAGCATAGTGTTGACCAAGGCGTGCAGATGGGTGCTGACCATTCCGTTGGTGATCGCCGCATCGCGCAGGTGCTCGAATGTCATCCCTGATGGTCCGGCTCCGACCCCATTCTCGCATCTCCCCAACATTTTAGCGAAGTCAGGGTGGGGGATTGACAGTTTTGACCCTTGTGTCTCGGGCCACGTCACTGCCTCGTCTCCAGCGGGTGGGTGCTTTTTGCGGAGCTCCTCCAATATTTCCGGGCTGGGCGTGCAGACGGGCGTTGACTCGAGGGCCAGCACGGCTCGGCGCAGACTGCCACGTTTCGCCAGGCTCTCCGCACGGCTGATGACACCTGTCGCATCTGGCTGATGTCTTGGCGGGGGCGGTGTGTTGACTGCGTTCAACGCGTCTTGGTACAGCTGATCCCATTCGCCACGCTGGAAAGCTCGGAGCCGGCTCTTGACACTTGGCCAGTTCGGGCGTTGTGGCGAGGTCTGGCGAAGCGTCAGGCGCGGGAGAAACAGCAGCAGGCGCCATCCCATTTCCGAATCCGGGTTTCGTGATAGGTGGTGTAACGGTGTCAGTAGCGCGAGCGAAAAAAACTGACACAGGTTTGGCGGTAAATGCCGCGACAGTGGAGGCTGACGACTGTCGCAAAGTGCTGGAATGTCCCAGTTCGCGATGGCTGCGAACAGGTCTGTCCGCTTTGCTAGCTCGTCCGGTGAAAAGTAGCGGGGAATTGATGCTGGTTGGCGCGCCGCAGCCCCGGCATTGGCGGTTCGATTTCTCCCAGCGCGGCTCGATCTCATTGGTGGGCTGGAGGTTGGATTTGCACCCGTCCGATCAGCATCGGATGGTGGCTGAGTCATCTGTGGTACTTGCAATTCCGCCTGCTGCACCACCTCTTCCCGTCTCCTTGGTCCTTCTCTCGCCATGCCTTCTCCCTCTGTCTCCTCCTCCTCGCTCTCGGGAAGGGCTTCTTCCCTATAAGATGGGTCGTCCCGCTCGTCTTCATCATTACTAATAGTTTCCTCCACGTTGTTTGAAGACATTCTCGCCGCCGCCTGATACCCATTCTCTGGCCCTCCGCCTGTTCCGCTTACGGTTTCTCTCCTCGCCACGCGGCTTCCCTGCTCTAGGGATGGTGATTGCCGGAGCACCTGAGCCGTCGCCAGAGCTCGTTGCCGCCTGGTCGGCTGTGGTCGCCAAGCCTCCAGCGGAGCCCGAAAGGGTGACCATGGCGACGAAGCCCCCTCTACCGCCGGCTCCGAAGCCCGTGACAGCAATCTCTGAAAATGCTCCTCCCCACGCACCCGCGGATCCCCTTGCCGGGTCAGAGGCAGGCCCGTCCGCTCCCGCTGCTGTTCCGTCTGCTCCGCCTGTGGCATCTGGCCCCCTGTCTCCCCTTGTCGAGCCGTCAGCGTCTGCCCCTGCTGGGGGTGTTGCTGAACCCCCTGCACCTGTCCCTGGCGCCCCTGTTGCGCCGACCGCTTCTGTCCCCTGCCTGCCTGCGCAGGCCTCTGCTTCGTCACCAAAGGCGGCGTCCGCCACCACTGGCAAGCCGGCTCCGTCGATTGCGCCTGCGGCGGCGGGTCAGTCCGCCCCCGCTGAGACCGCGGTGGCTCCTGCAGGCCAGCCGTCACGCCCTCCGTCGCCTGACCGTCGCTCGTCACGCCCCCATTCCCCCGCTCCCCACCAGGACCGAAAGTCGTCTCGTCGCCGGCGTGAGTCTCCACGGCGGTACCAGCAACAGTCGCACTGGCCTGCTCACCCCGGGTGTCAGGGGGAGTGGAGGGGTCCCTGTGCTCGTGGCGGGGGTGGGGGGTATCGCCCGCTCGTGACGATGGCGGATCTTCAGCGGGAAGTGTCGAGGGCGGTTCGGGAGGAGAGGGCGGCGCAGAGCCAGAGCAGTTCGTTGTGCGCCTTGCCAGCCCACGAGGCTCCTCGTCCGGCTGCGCTCCCCTCGAACCCGCAGCCTGTTGTTGCGCCTCCCCCTCACATCCAAGAGCCACCAGCTCCTTCTCCCGCTGTATCGGCACCTGCTCCCGGTTCTCGTCTCCATCTGCCGCCAGTTCCGCCTGTTGCGGGAGTGGAGTTTGTGGCCGCGGGTAGCGGCTCGTTGGCGGCTCCATTTGCTCTCCCAACTGATGCTGATGAGCCGCTCCAGTTCCTGGCGGAGGCACTCCAGCCTCCGCAGACCCGTGTTCCCGAGGCAACTCTCGGACAGCTACACCGCCTCGCTGACAGTCTCCACGCTCTG